CCGCGCGGGATCCAGCCCCTTTACAGCCACCCTGTGCGCTGGACCCGGGAGGAACGCGGAGCGGTTATTCCAGCCGGCTGGAGGAGAGCCTGTTCCCCTCCCCAGGAGGCTCAGGCACAGCAGCTAGTTATTGCTTGCTCTAATAGCATTAGTTCTTTACCTGCAGAGTTCCTGGATCAAAGGGAATGTAAATTATTCTTAAAAGCTTTTCTAAGGCTTCCCCCAGCATGGAAAAGCCTCTGAGCTGGCACGAAGGATGGAGCTGGCTCCGTAGCAAACGCCTCCGGGGCAGGGATGCGCCGGGACAAAGAGGCACGAGATCTGGGGAGCGCGCACCCAGAGCCGAGCACCCAGCACTGAGCACCCAGTGCCAAGCACCTGGCACCCAGAGCCAAGCACCCGGCACCGAGCACCCGGCACCCAGAGCCAAGCACCTCGCACCCAGAGCCGAACACCCAGCACTGAGCACCCAGCACCAAGCACCCGGCACCCAGCGCCGAGCACCTGGCACCGAGCACCCAGCACCCGGCGCCCACCACCCGGCACCCAGAGCCGAGCACCCGGCACCCAGAGCTGAGCACCCAGCGCCAAGCACCCGGCACCCAGAGCCGAGCACGCGGCACCCAGAGCCAAGCACCCAGCACCCAGCGCCGAGCACCCAGCGCCAAGCACCTGGCACCCAGGCAGTCTGCACCGGCTGAAGCAGCAAAGCTTTTCACCCACCAACCCCAGAGCTGAGCTCAACCACGCCGAAACCCTGCTGCCGGGTGCCCTGGGTCAGGGTGACGAGTCCGGGAGTCGATGTGGTGTCACACGCAGGAGGTGGCGAGGGAGCAGCAGAGTTAATCCGGACAATGCCATGGAAGAGGAAGGCACTTTTCCTGCTCGTGTCGCGGATCAGAGGTGCTGCGCGTGGCTTACAGAGCGTTAAATACCCCACCAGCACAGTAGTTCTGCCAGTTCTTATTACGTTTTCTGTTTTATAATGAGGAACTTTGTTAGCATTCAAGCATGCAGTCTAAATTTTAAAGGCCACCCACTGTACTTACATGCTACAGGACAAACTTCATAAGTATACCTGTTCCAATTTATTCTTCTAGTTTTTTTAGTAAAATATGGTTTCAATGACTTTGTCTTCCCTGTAAAAAAAAAAAAAATCCACATTTTTCTTTAATAAGTTCATGACATTCAAGCTACTAATTTTCCTTACCATCACATCCCTTTTTGGACACAGAATAAAGGAGACTGAATATAAAAAACAGTTTGTGTTTTTTTTTCCAAGATGGAAATGAAGAAATACAAAAATACTGAGCTCTCTAGTTTTAAAGGTTTGTTGTTTTTTTTTTCCCCAATTCTCTCAGCAGGTCAGAAAAGTGATAAAATGCTTTTGTCTCCATTTCAGTGGGAGGATAGTTTCGCCTTCGGCATACTGAGCATCATGGGCGCCTCGGTGCAATTTGCTGCTGCCATTGCATCTCCTCTCCTTGGCCCATTCTGGGATCGCTGGGACCACC